TCGTGCTCCCCGTAGAGGTAGGTTGTTCCCGCCGGCACCACCTGCGGGGTGGGGGCGGTTAGGGGGGCAGAACCGGGGCGGGGGGACAACCCAGCACCCCCCCCAACCCTCCTGCCAGTTCTGCCTGCCCGCAGATGTCTGATGTCTCCTAACTGGAGAGGTGCTTCTTTTGAGAGGGAAACTCCAAAAAACAAACCGACCAACCCGAAGATGCCAAACTGCATCTGGCTGTCAGACTTCTGCAGCCACCACTACAGAACTGAGCCAGCCAGGCTGTGCTGGTCACTCTCAGCCTGAGCTGGGTCCTCCCATACCAAGAAAAGCATGTGAAGAGACTGCATCATAGAATCATGGAATTGTCTGGGTTGGAAAAGACCTTTAAGACCATCCAGTCCAAGCATTAACCCAGCCCTGCCAAGGCCACCACTAACCCATGTCCCTCAGCACTGCATCTACACAGCTTTGAAATTCCTCCAGGGATGGGGACTCCACCACTGTCCTGGGCAGCCTGGGCCAGGGCCTGACAACCCTCTCTGTGAATAAATTGTTCCTAATACCCAATCTAAACGTCCCCTGGCAATTGAGGCCATTTCCTCTGTCCTATCACATGTAACTTGGGAGAAGAGACAAACATGCATATTTCTTGGCTGAGAAATCGGTCTCTGAGCTGACCAACATGGGTATCAAAAGCTGCAATGGCTTCCAGACAAGTGCACACATACACTGTTTCTGGCTCCTGCTGCAGATCAGGTCTCCCTGTGACCACTGAGCACGAACGAAAAACCAAACCCTTTGTCACTACTGACTCATTTCTCTGACAGAACAGGAAGATTCCTTTCAAATTTGAGTCAAAGGGAACCTAAATCTACCTGATGTGCAGAGACACTGAAAAGAGGGTTGGAATCTGGTATCCGGAAGGAATGAATTCAGCAAGCCCTACAGACACCTCTAATGCTTTTGAGATAAGCAACACATCTGTTGCTCACAGGAACTTCACCCAGAGCAGAACACATCTGGCTAAATCAAGTCTACAAAGGTCTACCTCCAATAGCTTAAGCAGACCACACAAAGTGACCTCAGAGGTAAACAGCAGCCTGGAGAGGACAGAGGGAAAGTGACAGGTGAAATCTTGTTTCATACTTGCGTGATGTCTGAGTGCTCTGGGATTTCTAATAATTCAATATGCTGTTCCTGTGCCTGTGTGATAAAGGACTCTTTAATGTCTTCGGAAGTACAGTGCTCCAACGGGACAGGAATCACCTTGAGAGGGATAACATTTCCATAAGAAGGAAAAAAAGACAAAACAAACCACTTGCAGAAAACAATCAGTCCATCACCGGAGCTGGTACACTCCTCAGTACCTCTCAGCATCATCAAACCAGAGAGGTGAGCACCTCTCTGTACAGGCTTAAACTTACAAGATTTTTTTCTGTAGGAGACCAACAAAAAGCTGAAAACTAAAAGCTTAAAAAAGTTCTCAGCACAGCCATCTCCTTTCTGATTTCTGTGGTGGTTTAAGGCTGCTCTGATACAGTTACAGATCTGCCATATACAGAAACCACCACAATAAACCCAACACACAATAACACCAACAAACAAATAATGAAAGATCTGGTCCTGGTGGGCAATGACCAGAGTTCTGCATCTATCCTTAGATGTTCAGCCTACTTTGGTGACAAATATGAGCACCATGGTTCATGTGCCGTTGTGAGCCAGCAGAGGCAGAGCACAGTCTTGCAACTTCTCTGAAAACCTCACGGGCTTTTTACTGGTTCCACACAGGGAAAACTTTTCCTCACTCACTCAACACAGCCTGCGCGCTGTGCTGCTGGAACAAGAAGAATTAAATGTGGCAGAACGAGCACCCTGGTTTTACTTTTGCTCTGTCTCTATCCGTGGGGTAAGATGACTTCTCTGCACACTCTGAGAAGGCACAGAATAAAGAGGGAAATTTGAAGGTGAGCTTTCTCTCTCAGTTCCTTTGCATCGTAAGTGCAAGTTTACATTCTCCCAGGGTGCCACTAAAACCATACCTGTAACTGCAGATGCTGACTCCTATAGTTTCTTTCAAATAGGACGTATCTCTTTCCC